AGTTAATGAATTTAAAACATGTATTTCTTCTTTTCAATGTATTCCGTTAGATTATTTTTGAAACTGTCTTTACCATCTTTTTTGTCCCCTCACCATTGTTAAATGTGTTACTTTTAAACAGCCCCAAGTTCTGGGCGAATTTAACTAATCCGCTATTAGCTGGAATTCAGGCTGAAGTTGAAGAGGTTTGTTTTTATAATTAGTGTCTGCTTGTATCAATTTGTAACGCGAAAGTTTTTGAATGTAAAAATGAAGGGTAAGCGTGAGCTCCACGCGAATCCCGTCATGAGATCCTGTCTGTTTGCGTTATGATTACTAAAGGCTGGTTTTCATTAGCGACGGAGTTGGAGTTGGAGTCGTAAGCGGAGTCGTAAGAGCGCCTGTGACCTGGTGAAAATCAACATCGGAGTCGTAAGTTAGCGGAGTCATACACGCGACGGAGTCGGAGTCGGAGTTTCTTCCGATTCCGCTTATGACTCCGTCGTTTACGATGTAGTGAAAACCAGATTGTCGGAGTCGGAAGCAGAAGCGGAAGGACAAACCGATCACAATGCACGTTCCCACGCTTTGTGATTTGTTTGCTTCCTTTGCTTCTGCTTGTGACAACGACCACCCAGTTTTCACTAGATCGTAAAGTTCTACGCTTCTGATTACGACTCTGACCCCGACTCCGACTTCGTCGCTAGTGAAAACCAGCCTTAATCATATCGATTATTTAACTCACAGAACTACAATACAGAAGCAAAACACACTCAGCTTTTTAATGGCTGAAGACTTAGCAACTCATCCTGCTATTTATTGCAGTACAGAAACACTACCAAGTCTAATAAACAAGGATAAGTTGCAGATTCTTAACTTTGAAAATCATACTTTTAGCGCTATCGCTGCAGTATGGGGAAACGACCCTTGCCTGAGTTAGACATCTATTTCTCTCCAAATCTTCGCATTACAGAGCGGATTATTTAGGACAAATGTTTAACTATGACAAGAAGAAATTAAAGCGTCATTCCTGTCAATGCATCTTACCATATTACACCGATGGTCCGATACTTACGCTTTCTCTTCCTTACAGGATTACAGATATCAGTTGGAGATTTGTTGCTATGCACTGCAGATTTTAGCTCTCGAGGCTTATTATGTAACAAGGTAATATCTATGGTTCAAGTGCCAGTTTGTCTTTTGTTGTGATTTTGAAAGTATTAGTGACTCTTTTGCTGATTTTATTGTTTTTACGTAACCATTTTTGATAAACGCAAAGACAAATAAAACTTGCTGAATAGGTCAGTGGTAACCCCTCAGTGCTCGATAACCTAGTACCACAGGATTCCCAAGATTAGGACTTGCATTCTTCTTACGTCGAACGCAATAATTAAAAAAATGAAGCAATATTACAACTCACCATATTACAACAATAGTTATTATTCATCACGTTAACATTATAGTTTTTAATGTTGTTTTATTTTTCACTTCAATAGAGGCCAAGTTGATGAGAGCCTAAAGACCTCCATGAAAGCATTTTGTTCAAAAAAGAGATACGAGTACTGGGGCAGGGTAAGTACACGAATCTGCTGTCGTGTTCTACCTTTAAAAAGTTCGACTTTTCTTTTCACTTACGTCGGGAATGGACTAAAGTCCAGAACACGGAACACTCCGCAATACCCTCCCCCTCCCCCAAACATCCCCGAAACACCCCTGGAATCCTCCGGAACTTCCCAAACCTGTACGCAGATGTTTTTTTCTTTCCGAAAATCGACCAGCGCGCTAGTGAAACGAGCGAGCGAGGAGCGAGCGGACGAGGGCCAACCCCCTTGCGATTGACGTCAATAAATCCCCCGTGGTGTTTATTTTCATACGAGTGCTCGACGATCTTTAAAGAGAAAATTTGGGGTCTGTGATCAGGCTAGAACTCCCCCGGAACTCCCCAGCAAAACCTTGCAATGGGTAATGAAAAATATAAACAGAAGGGTTTAGGCTAATCTGTAAAACATTAAATGTCCTTTCTGACTTATTGTTAGATGTTCTGGCATATTCCTAGTGACAGTATTCAGTATATGCATTAATTTTGTGATGGACTCTTTCAGTTCCTCAAATCCTCGGAGCCTTTTGTCGCTGAGGAAGAGAATAAAGCCCAACTTGAACAGTTTGAAGAAGAAAAAGTGAAACTGCTAAAAGCGTGGAGAACGTTTCTGGTTGTGTGTTCTTCTTATCAGGTTAGAGATGTGAAAAGACACAAACGTCACTTGTTTCACTTCTTCACTGAATTTATTATAAATGTTTGAAGGTTCTTCGAACTGCAGGCCTGCGGCGAGACTACCCCCTTGCACTGGCGGTCAATAAATCCAACCCGCATTTTTTTTTTTATGACGCGCGCTCGACGGACTTTGAAGAGAAAATGGAGGGTCTGTGACCAGGCTAATCCTATCTTAGCAACACTTCGAACGCTTCTCAACAGGGAGCTTAAGTCAGTAACCACGACGATGACTGCGACGAAAACTTCACATAGGCCTTGTTTACAAGGAGCTAGGGTTATCCTAGCAAGCGGGTTAAAGTTAGCTCTAGTTTACAAGCAAATATACAGGTAGGGTTACCCTATCGCCCGGGTAAACTTTACCAGCTTTGCTCAAAATTTGAAATAATCTTGAAGTTCTCTATGGAAGACACGTTAAATTCACGAGAAAAGGGAAAATATTATCATCGTAGACAGAAAATAACTTTTTATTTTTCAGATGTTTATAATTAAGTTCAGAAATTGGATAATGCCCTTCAAATTGGCACGATAGTTTGTCACGCATGACGGCCGAAAGTTGACCCGGGCAGGCGAGTTATCCCTAGCAGAGCGTTTGCAAGGCAGGTAGGGTAACCCTCTTGCTAGGGTAACCCTAGCACCAGGGTCACCTTCCCTTCTTGCATGTAACCAGGGCCTTAAAAAGAAAACTCGCGCTATCTTAAACTTCATCTTTCTTCTTTCATCTCGTCTAATTTGTGTAATGCTGGCGAATTTTTCTCGAGTTAAATTCTAAAGCGCTCTATCTAGGTTCAGAAAAAATGGGAAATCGTCTTGGGTTTGTGTCCTCTAATCAAATAACTTGAAATTAGGAAGATTCACGCCGTAATGGTGAAACGACGGCAAAAAAAATGTACAAAAAAAAACGTGATGCACGCGCAAAGTTGTTCCTTTTTGTCGCTCTTATTGCCGTCGGGTCGCCATCGTGGTTGCGAAAGCTTCTTACACACGTCATCTTTAAGTAAGTTCATTATGTTTTTGTCATGACGTTTATTTTTACAAACATTTCTTTTTCTTTGAAGACCGAGATGTTTGGTTTGAATGATACTGCTGTAAGAAAACTCATCTTGGATGATATTCTACAATTGCTGAAGTCACAGGTACAAAAATATCCAGTTACTGTAAATTTTCACGCACTCTTTCAGATAGCTTTTCGTGCCCACACGAAGGGCTATCTGGTATGATATGAACACCTATCCGTTAGGTGACTCTCCACTTTAGAGATCGGTGCGGTGTAGCTTCGCTCCGTTACAGATGTCGCGCGGAAATCACCGTTCTTATGTGTGAACAGAAGCCCTATCCGGTGTGGTGTTCATACCGGTGCAAAAGCTTTTCGGTACAGTGTAAACATCGCCTCATAGGAAGCCAGGTAGCCTGAGTACCAAGCGTTTCTGTGCGGAGTAGGAGCAAAGAACGAGGGACGGAAGTCAAAGACCACGCGAAAAATGGCGCCGGCAAAAATTCCTCGGTCTTTCTTTGCTCCGAAACCAAACGGAAACGCTTGCTACGCAGGCTAGAAGCCAGGGTACTTCATACGAATCAGAGGAGACTAGAATGTTCGACTAATTGACAGATGTCGGAGCAAAGGAATCCCAAATGTTCTCCTTACTAATTTCAAGACCCCAAGTTTTGGTCAGACTGGAAATCGAACTCGGACCTTTTGCTCCGAATTCTGGTATCCCATTACCTTAGCTAGCCAGTCGGCGGTAGTTAAGATTTGGAAGCACATACAATCCTAGACCCTTAGTGGAAGATTCTCGATTTGCTCTTCTTCTTATACATTGCAGGTTTCCAGAAGAGTTTCATTAGAGAGTATTAATGCCGCTGGCGAAGTTTGCAGCATGTTTTTAATGCTTCTCAAGCGATGGAAGAGGTAAGTACAAGAATTAAAGGAACTTGATTGACAAAGCATGAGTATCAGCTAGTAAGGCGCAAAACCACTAAAAGCCACGTCTCTGTTGTCCTCTTGTGTGAGGAGGACAAATGGGGAATCGCGTCAAACCTTTGAAGTCGCCAATGCCCGACTTTCTTAGCCTGTTTCAGGCGTTCAAATTGTAGAGCGCGGTGGTCAGATGGTGGGGAGCGAAATAAAATTATTGTTCACCGCGAAAACGGGCGGGGGGGATTCTCCCCTCAATTTTTTTTCTTCGCGAATTTTTCTCCCGCGCTCTACTGCCTGAACGCCTGGAACAGGGAGGAACTTCGGGACTAGTCAGTCTCGTTTTTTCTCGTCAAACTGGTTTTCCGAGTGCCAGCATCCGTTTATTGTTACATTGATGTTCATAACTGAGCTCGTTGTACCAAGCGCAGGGCAATTTAACCTGAGTTCGAAACTGTATCCGAGCAACAAGCAGTGCACATGCTCAACAAAGATCTTATTTGATTAAAGCAGAGTCTTGCTTGAGTACATCGAAATCAAGAAAGTGAAATACAAGGTCTGTTAGCAGGGTGTACTTTTTATGCACTGTTACGTCATTCCTCGAATCGAGACCTGGGATGACAAAATACAGTGATTTTGTATGAAATTACAGTCAACTCCCGAAAACTCGAACCATAGTTAATTAAAGTGGAATGGTTGGAAAACCCTTTGTTATAGGTTTTTGTTAGGTTTTTTGGACCTGACCGTGCACAACGTTCAATAGCATTCCTATCATTTTGAAGTTATTGACCAATAGAAACATTGCGTTAATTTATTCAGTCATAATTTGTTAACAGA